AGAGAGAGAGAGAGAGAGAGAGAGAGAGAGAGAGAGAGAGAGAGAGAGAGACGCACACACGTGCAAGCAATCTGGAAAATCAGGCCAGAAAAGTAACTGACTAAAATATTAATGCATACTATTATTTAGATTTTTTTGTACAGTATAACAGTGAGTGTTACCACAAAAATTTAGAAAGAATGTATTTTCTAAATCTTTAATTGTAAAAACAGACCTGCTTGCTAGAATATGACAGTGAGAATTTTTCTGTATATTTTGACTGTTTATTATTTTATAATTATATTTCTCAAGTTCCATTAGCATTTTCTAGCAAAAAAAGCAATATCAAAGTACAATTGCTTGAAATACAGCTATAGATGAGGAAGCGATATCAAAAAATATTACTTACATTTTGAAAGATAGATTCCACTGATTTCATATGACTAACAATTAATTCTTTGTCTCTGTTGAATGAATAAAAAGATCATGTTCTTATTGCTGTTTTACCTTTAAAGTTCTATTTTGTTGCTTTTACTCTTGTATTGCAGTCTATTTTTATAATAAATGTTTTTGTTAGTTAGCTATCATCGTTTCCATTATAAATTTAATTTTTAATTGTATGGTAGTTCTTTGAACAGGAAGCTGAAGAGCAGAAAACATGTTTATATGTGACATTCATCATTTCCTTTGTCCCAAAATTTGTTGCCTTCAGGTAATTTCAGTGTCATATACAAAAATGGTTAGCTGAGTTAACTATAAAGTAACTAGCACAAGCAATACTTTCCATTCTTTTTCTGCTGCTTTAGAGTCAACTCCATGTTTCTTGTATACAGTTGACTAATGTCAGATTTAGTTTATAAAGGGTATCAGAGATAGCACTGGAAGGGAGGACTCTCTAAGTTTTGTTACTGAATTTTTGCATATGGTTCCAGAAGTTCAGAAAATGTTTCTTATGGTTGAAAAATTCTAGAATTCTCTAAAAATATAAATCAATAAGATTTTTTGAGGAATAAAAAATGCTCTTGTTTTATCATCCCAATCCGTGAGTTAAATACGTAAGAAAAAAACCCTGTCAGATAGATGAAGTGGCTGTATAACCTCAATTTTCTTGGCACCCAGACACACAGAGGTGTGGTGCTACAGGTTTGGCCTGGTTCTCCTGAACTGGTAGCTCCGAAGATCAGCTGAGACCAAACCGGTTTGCTCCAATGATCTTCTGCTCTTCTGTTTGGCCCACCCGCCTGCCCGGGCTCTAGGCTGTCCTTTGTTTTTGGCTCCATTGGCTGGGGAGGAGGCTGGGGAAGGGCAAAATCCGGCTGGGCAGAGCAGGGGAGAATTAGAACAAGGGAGAGGGAGTTCAGAGAAAGAACCAGGCCCACCTCCCTCTTTATTCTAGGGCATGCAGGGAGGAATGGAGAGGAGAGCAATGTTGGTTGCGTAGCTTACGGGGAAGGAAAGGGCCCTGATTCCCTTCATTAGCCACAGCTGGGAAGACAGTTGATAAGAAAGGCAGGCTGCGTGCGGCAGGCAGTTGGAAGTAAACATGACTTTATCCTGTGTTGTCGTGGCTTATCTGTGTTCCTGGTGTCTTCCCAACCATGTGAGTTTTGAGTGTCTTCAAGTTCCTCCTGCCCTGCCAAACTAATTACTTCAGTTTGGCTTGTTTGGACTTTAAGTTACAGTTTGTGTTGACCATGTTTTGGACTTAATTTTCTGAAGTCAAAGGCTGTTCCTGGGAGAGTTTTTCTCCAGCCAGAAGGTAACCTGGACATTGAGGACAAAGTTGGAAATAATAAAGGGACTCTTATTGATTATCTGACTGTGTTGCCTTTGTGCCATGCCCCAGGTCATCACAGAAACTGTGTAGCATCTTCTGGATGCTAGTATATGATTACATCTATATAATACCTAGTTTTCTATATGGTCTATGATTCAAAATCATGGGCTAATGATGATTATTTCATGCAGTTTTTATTTGCACTGTCTTCTTACCCGTTTAAATCTGAAGAAAAGCTTGCCACAAGGAATGTTTCTAAATGGCTATTTTGTCTGTGTAAAGGCAGCTGAAAAGTTGCAGGTTTTGTCATGTATGAAAGCTGTGCTAGGTATATCTTCTGTTATATGTTGTTTTGATTACTCTAGAAGGGTGATGGGCTACTTGCCTTTTCTATGCATTTATTACTTACCAATTCTGAGCTTTTAGTCAAGAGATACACCAATGACTATACTTGTGCACTATTAAAACCTCAGGGTCATTGGGTACTTGTAGGCACATGAGTATTTTGATACATGTGCTGTACTGTTCAACTATCATATATACCATCATATACTAACGTCTCTTCCCATCAAAACCACTTTGACCTTTGGTCAGATGTTTCACTCAATCCAGGTACACCTTAGGGGCAAAACTCAAGACACATTCATGCTTCTGTTGCTCACACCTCATCCGCGGACATTGAAATGATTGAAAAAGGCCATTAATATGTTTCTCTTCAAGAGGATCTTTTACTACCATTTCAAAGATAGGCAGCTGTACTTTTTGTTTTCCAGTGCTGCATTATCCAGGACTAAAAATCCTTTGCATGAAAGTAAGAATTGATCTTTTGTCTGTTTCAAGTGATCTCCCCAAGGCCCCCCGCGCTCACTTGGCTGCCATGCGGAGGGCATTCTCTGCATCATGGATGTTCTGTTCCAGCCGACGCTTGTCCTGCTCCAGCTGGGTAAGATGTCTATTGAGCTGACGCAAAGATTGATCTTTTCTTCTCAGCTCCATCTTTGCCTCGGAGAGATTCTGAGAGCAGACAGAAAACAGAGTTACTTGTCAGCTCTGATAATTAACTTCAATTTATGCCATAGGCTATTAAACAAAGAGAAATACAGACTGACTATGAAATAGATTGGGGCTATTTTCAAAGAAAAATAGCACTGGTTTCCTCTTAAACATCCAGAACGTTGCAGATTCAACTGCTTTATAACAACAAAAACTGTCCTAATTTGTACACGATCACATATGATGAAGGCACTCCATAAATATATACATATATTATCTTAGGGTTCATTCATGTAAATTAAAAGAAGAATTATGCTGGGTTGCTCCAAAGGCCGGAGTAGTCCAAGATTCTCATCCAAGAACAATAGCTAGGTTTTATGGGAAGCCTACATAAAATACACTCCCACAGCAAAGAACTTAGAGCATGTGGATTCATAGGTGGAAAGACAAAGAAAATTGCTGCTTGGAAAAGCAGGGAATAAAAAAAGTAATTGGGGAGGGGAACTACCTACCCTACAGCTCTTTTAACTGTTCAGTAAAGTTCCAATTATAAACATTATGATATATGCATTTTTGTGATTTTTCACAAATGGATTGCATGGTTTCTCTTCCTTCGAGGTTGCTCCAGGATAGTCTCTAATAGTCAATGCTTCAACTTGAAAATTAGTTCAGATGGCTAAAACGCAAACCATTTCCCAAAGGAGGAACCACTAAACAACTTTGCATGCAAAATGCAAACAAGTCTTTTATATGAATTGCTGTAAGGTTATATTTTTTCAAAGGCTTCTGAATTGCTCTGGTACAATTTCAATTCAAAGCTTCTTTTTATTTGGCTTTCTCAAGTGTTGGACGGTCTGACAATTGCTACAGACATTCTTCCAATGTCAGCACTATATTTGCTGCTTGGTAATAGGTTTTCTTCTGTACGGCATTCATACGGACTTGCACAAAGAGGTGATTTCTAAAGATGCTTTTTCATAAATGAATTTTATTTTTACTACTAGGATGATTAGTAAAGGTTTTCTGTTTGCAGGAATAAATTCCTATTATGCTTTGGACAAATTAAAAAGTTTCATAATGGAGCCAGGAATTGTATATGTTTACCAGCAATACGTGAAAAACTGCCTAGTTTTTCACTTCCTGTTCGAAGTGCTCTGAATTGGTACCTTGCAAATCCAGGACTTGGTCGTGTGTCTAAATCTGTCTAAATACAGATACAGATACATAGCCTTGGTGTTTGACGTTATGACAGCAGTGAAGAAAGTGACTTACAACCAGTAAGCATGCTTACAAACATCACAGAACTCCTGTTCTCAGGTTATCAAAATTCAGGTGCTTGGTAATTGGCATACATTTACAACAGTTGTAGAGTCCTGGGGTCACATTATCGCCATTTGCTACCTTCCCAGGAATTCCCAACAAAGTCAATGGAAGAAGTCAGATCGACTTAATGGCCCTGTGAGTCACTTAACAACTGAAGCAAAAAAGGTTGTTAAATCACATGCAACTCACTTCATGCCTGCCTCACTTAGTGACAGAAGTTCCAGCCCAACTGTGATCATGAATTAAGGACTATCTATCGAGGCTACCTTTATTGAGAAGCTATCTCTATGTAGGTCCAGGTCAAGGATTCACTATGTCTTTAAAATGGCTCTCTTAAATCCCAGCACCAAGAATTGGAGTGACAAACCACAACAATTTAAATCTGCAGTTACACCTTTCTTCCAGGAATGAACAAAGCTTAACTGCTAGGACTAACTGGGTCTATAATCCTTTCAAAAAAGATAATTTTATCCAGGACTTTAATGAACAAGTTCTCATATGTCCTCTTATGGAAGGTAGGCCAGATTCCAAATGCAAAAGAGCATTTGACACACATCAGGAATGCTCTTTAAGAATTTGGATTATTCTACTCATCTCTGAGCTCCTTGTGTCATTGTCACTATAAAAGCAGTGAAAATAAAAGTACAAACCTCAACATCTTATCCCTGATTAGGGCAAATGTATTGCCACTGAATTACAGAATTAGAAATCTTTTCAGCTTGGACTTCTGTGTTTCTTTGCAAACGTAGAGGAAAAATAACACCAATTTAAAATCCTTGACTTTTCAACATCGAAACTATTTTTGTGCCAATTGTGCAAACAGCATGCCTCTCAGTAAGTTGAACCACTTTTGTTTTGCGATGACTGACAGCCAATTTTTCTTCCCTGCAAAATGTTTTAGGAGTTCAAGTTCTGTCTTCTAGAATATTGTATCTTGGACACCAAGACGGCAGCACAGGCAGAGAGGAGGGAGGATGTGGATTTATTGGCCAGCTCTTATAAGCAAAACTCACTTTTAGACAAAGCTAGAATGATGATGCTGATACATATAGGCCTAGACTTACACCGCAGTTGGGAGCAGAATTTCCATTGGTAAGAAGGCAGTTGTTAAAAGAATGGTGTCCAATTTTACCAACTTTTTTTTTTTTTTTGGCAATGGTTGTTACATGAATGACTGCCGTTAAATGACTCACACAGTTGTGAAGCAAATCCAGCTTCCCCTATTGACTTTGCTCGTCCGAAAGCCAGCTGGGAAGGTTGCAAGCGGTGATCACATGACCCTGAAAGCTAAAACCATACATGAGTATTGTCAAATGCCCAAATTTCTATCATGTGATTCTAGGGATGCTGCGATGGATGTTAAGAGCCAAGGACCAGTTATAAGTCTTTTTTTTTTTCAGGGCCATTGTAACTTGGAGCAATTCTAAATGAATGGTTGTAAGTCAAGGACTCCCTGCAAAAATGGCAATTAAAAGGAGCAACTCTGCTTCCTTGCCTAACTACTTCCTTGCCTAACTACTACAGTTCTTAAAGTGAAGCACCTAACCTGCATGTAAGTGTCATGATTAATCAGAGAAGACAGTTATCAATAATTGTGTCCCAATTTAGCACATAGACTTTCTTGGGATATCAAGGTGAAGAATATCAAGTGGCCTCTGACAAGATACAAATGCATCAGATATTTATTTCCACTATTGGTCTTCTGTAAGAAATTAACTCCATCTCATCCTGGGAATCTTTTTTTAACTATTACCATCTGGTAAACGGTACAGAATAATAAAAACAAGGACAAATAGGCTGAAAAACAGCTTTTATCCCAGGGTAATAGCTCTTTTGAATTCTGCTGTATAGTGCAGTGTTGGTGTGGTGTGGGGGGGGGTGTGTGGTTCAATGTGTGAAAGATGAATGATGTGTGTTTGTGTTTATTTTCATGGTCACAATGTGCACTGAAGATGGTGTTTGATTTTGTTGTACGAGGTGCAATGACAATAAAGTAAACTAAAACTAAATCTATTAAATCTAAACTGCTTTTGAAAACAAGGTATAAGCTGTTACAAGACCACCAAGTGAAAACCTAAGACTAAGTGAAGCAGGTATATCCAACCCATAGGTCATAGGCGGACGTGGACAGCTAGTAATGTGGCACCACAAGATCATAAACATCTAACATTATTATGTGATTGATATACATTAATTATATTATATATTTTATATGCAGCCCTCTTCGTCTTCACTCAAACCCAAAAGATTGGACAGCCATGAACTAAAGCACACATGGTATAAAAAGACAGAATAATGTTCTGGATACAGATTCTTTCCCGTCACACATACGTGTTTTCAGAAGAAAGTTTCTTCTTTATATTTAAGTCCTGATCTTCAGGGGTTAAAGATAAGCCACTAAAACCGTTTGACCACAGTCTGCGGTACTTTAAAGTCATATATTTTCTGTTGCTAAATCTTCCTCCTCCTTCCCTCCACCATCCTTTTCCTCCGATTGATCTAATTAAAAACCCTGATAAACTTTATGGACTCTAATATTTCCAGCTGAATGACTGAAACCAAGAGGGTGGGCCTCCAGGCAGCCAGGAAACAATGATAAGCGGCAGGTTAGCCACTAATTTCTCAACCAGGCTAGACTGAGGAAAGGTGATGTTCTGCTATCCTGGAAAGTGTTCAGGAGAGAATAGGATAAATCAAGTTTAATAACGCCGGTCCTAATTGTTCCCCCAATGCTCAACTCTAATTACTTGGAGAAACTCTCTTGACTGTCACCTGATATTAAGTTGTTGGAAGCCGCATGTGGAACAGTGAGATAATCAATAAACATTTAGAGGGGGGAAGAATGAAGATCCCTGTTAAGCAGTGGGAACTGGCAGCACCCAAAGCCCTTCTGCTCATGAGAAAGCCTATGGGAGAATCACCGAGATTGCAAAGCAATAAATCCAAAGCGTCGGTTTTTTGGGCCTTGAGGCAGGAGTGCTTTTTTGGGGGGGGTGGGGGAGAAAGGTTAACACGGTCACCCTAATTACAGCCCACTCACACATGCTTCGTATAGAAGCGAAGACAAGCCAATTAGGTAGAAAAGAAGATAAGAGAAGTTTTATTTGTATACTAATTAAACCCCTGATGAAATTAAAGGAAAAACATACAGCTCTGTAATTGTGTCTGAGAAAGGTCACTTCAGGTTCACTTATCAGAAAAGCACAGCCTTGAGATATTTCACTTAATCCACAATATAGCCGTTTATTTTTGCTCCCTGGGCCTTCATATTTACAAAAAGAAGAACATTTCAAAGCTTGATAAACACTTTTATCTGGAAACAGGGGCAGAGACTAGTTCAAACTGTTTAAAAGTTGAAGCTGAATAAGGAGCCCCAGTGACTGAAAAAAACAAAAACAAAGCCCCATTCTGGATTGCCCGCTTATAACAGAGCTGAAATGGAGAGTACTCTTTTGGACAGGGCAAAGAAACTTATAAAACTCATTTTAATTATGTGAGCCCAATTATTCTACCGTTTAAATACAGCTGATATTTCAACCATCAGGACTGCCATGTCTATTTGTGATAGGGTTGGTTGCAAACCCTTACTTTCTCACCAAACTCCAATGCATGAGGAATTATTAAAGGAACATGGTAGAAAGCAAAATTCAAGGAATGGCAGCAACCCAAACACCTTGACAGCACTATGCTTACCTTTA